TCGCACAAAATTTAAATTCAACACCCCCGGGTGGGCCTGTACCACCAACCTTTCGGTTAACAGCCGAACGCGCTAGCCAATTGCACCACGGAGACTTCGGTCAGGTTACACTGTAAGTTGTCAACTTATGACGACAAATGACTTTTACAAAAACGCATTTCACACAAATTTTAATTACAATGCCACCGGATGTGCTTGAACCACCAACCATTCTGTTAACAGCCGAACACGCTAGCAAATTTCGCCACGGAGGCTTCCTTCATGTTCAACAGAAAGCTGTCTATTTATGAGGATAAATAACCTTTCAAAAAAAATAATTTTCGCACAAAATTTAATTACAACATTGCCGGGAAGCCCTGAACCAACAACTTTTCGCTTAACAGACGAACGCACTAGCCAATTGGGCCATGGGGAGGCTTCTTCATGTTTAACAAAATTTTTTTCTATTTATGAGGATAAATGACTTTTTACACTAAATTTAATTAGAACGCCCCCAGGAGGGCTCGATATCACCAACCTTTCAATTAACAGCCGAAAGCGCTAGCGGATTGCGCCATGGAGGCTTCCTTCGTGTTCAACAGAAAATTGCCTATTTAGGATTATAAATGCTTTGCACAAAAGAGCATTTCCAACAAAATTTATTTACAACGCCCCCGGGTGAGCTTTAACCAGCAACCATGCAGTTCACAGCCCAACGCTCTAGCATATTGCGCCACGAAGGCTTCCTTTATGCTCAACAGAAAGTTGTCTATTTATGACGATGAATGACTTTTCACAAAAAAGCATTTGACACAAAATTTATTTACAACGTCCCCGGGTTGGCTTGAACCACCAACCTTTCGGTCAACAGCCGACTGCGCTAGCCGATTGAGCCACTGAGGCTTCCTTCATGATTAACAGTAAGTTGTCTGTTTATGAGGATAAATGACTTTTCACAAGAAAAGCTTTTCGCACAAAATTTATTTACAACGCCCCCAGATGGGCTTGAACCAACAAATCTTCGGTTAATAGTGAATTTCACCATGGAGGCTTCGGTCAGGTTAAACTGGAAGATGTCAATGTATGAGGATAAATGACTTTTCACAAAAACTTTTTTCGCGCAAAATTTATTTACAACGCCCCTGACTGTGCTTGAATCAACATTCATTCTGTTTACAGGTAAACGCTCTAGCCGATTGCGCCACGGAGGCTTCCTTCATGTTCAACAGAAAGTTGTTTATTTACGAGGATAAATAACTTTTCGCAAAAAAGCATTTGGCTCAAAATTTAATTATACTGCCCTCGGTTTGGTTTGAACCACCAAACATTCGGTTAACAGCCGAACGCGTTAGCGGATTGCGCCTCGGAGTCTTCCTTTAACTTTAATCTCTCAACATGAGATAAATTTAGTTTTAAAAATCTCTCGTGCCTCTTAAATATCTTAATAATTTCAGTAAAATATTCCAATGTTTTATTCCGGGAGATTCTTGAAATTGGGAAAGGATGTTAACAGCATAACTGATATCAGGCCTGGTTCGATTTGCAATAAATGACAAGAAACCTAAAAGATTTCTATAAGGAAATTTAGACATTTCTTCTACTTCAATAGCATTTGATGTGTAGTCTAATTTAGATAGAACTGTTCCTTTTGCAATAGGAAGTGAAGCATGGGGAAAATTATATTTAGAAAAAACTTTACAAATTATATCAATGTATTGTTTCTGGTGAATAAAAAATACTGTCCATTTATATCAGAAAATTCAATACCAAGTAATTTCTTAATTTTTCCCAACACTTTTAAATCAAATTTACTTTGTTACAAAGGTACAACATTATCAATATCATCTAGTGATTTACCAAACATTACAATGTCATCAAATATATACTATCAAAAGAACATTTTCCTTATAAATATAAACACAATATTGCACCAGTTTAGTTAAAATCTAAATTTTCTAGGGTGTTATCAAATTCATAATACCATTCTCTGCCACTTTGATGCAATCCGTATATTGCCTTTTTCAAAAGTCAAACCTGGTTAATTTTATTCAAACTTTCAAAACCTTGAGGTTGTCTCATATATACGCGTTAATTCAAATTAGCATATAAATAAGCACATTTTATATCCAATTGACAATGAGTCACATTTTAATAGGCATACAAATAAGACAATCTAACAAGAGAAACATTTACTACGGGACTAAACGTTTCATCATAAGATTCTCCCTTTTGTTGGTTATGCCCCTGTGCAACCAATCTAGCTTTGTACCTACAAATTTTGCCTTTGCTATCAGTTTTAAGCGTATAAACCTATCTACATCCTATAACTTTAGAGTCTTGAGGGGCGGGAACTAATTCCCATACATCTCTTTCTTTCATTACTTTAATTTTCTCTTTCATTGCATCTTGCCATTTATCAGACTGGGGAGAGTTTTTAGCATCATTAAAATGTCTAGGGATCAACACTTCAATATTCGAAGCTTCAGGATGATTAACGTTATGATCCACAGTTGAATTGAAGTCAAATAAACTTTTATCATATGGTATATCATTTTCTTTACAATATTTTTCTACATCATTAAATGACCTTAATCTGACATCTTTATCTTTAATACCATAATAAATATCATACCTTTTACCGTTTTGACGCAAGATTGCTTCTCTACAAAACGGAATTGAACTGCATAATGTTAAATTAGATGTGTTTTCAACTGGAGCTTTTACTCTTGAGCTATCACCAACTACAGCTTTAGCCGATTCGTCAGGATCATCATAACTAAATGTGTTAAAAGGATTATTAAATTTAAATTCCCTCCCTTCCGTTTTTCTACTATTAGGGGTAGAGAAGTTTAAAATGTCGTTTGAAACTCTTTTGAATTCATCAAAAAGTACGTTGCAAGTTTCAATTAACTTCTCCAGTAACCAAATTCGGTATCCTCAAGTTGAACAAGCATAGCCAAGCATTATTCCGTGTTTTGCACGTAAATCTAATTTATTCCTGAGCTTCTTAGGAGTTCCCACATAAACATGGCATCCAAATACCTTAAGATTTGGTACAGTTGGCTTACGGCCAAAATAAAGCTCATACGGGGTTTTATCTTTAAATTTATGACAAATTCTATTTTTAACAAAAGTAAAACAGACTAAAGCTTCTGCCCAAAAACATTTCTCAATTCCACTGGTATTACGCATAGTCTTAACACAATCCATAGCAGTTAGATTTAATCGTTCGGATACACCGTTTTGCTCAGGTGTGTAAGTATGTGTCCTCTCAAATCTAATACTTAGTTCATTTAAATATTAGGAACATTTAGAAAGACATAATTCCATACCATTGTCACATCGAACACTTAATATGTTACGATTCAAAACTCTTTCAGCATTCGCTTGAAAAGATTTAAAGTATTCAAAAACTTGAGATTTTTCTTTAAGAGGAAAGCTGGTCACCATTCTGGAAAAATCATCAGTGATGGACAGAAAATACTTACAGTGGTACAAACAATTGAGGATACACCTTACACTTTTACTTGATAAATCCAACTTTCAATCGAAATAACACATTAACTAGAAGTGCAAACGTGTTTTTATATTTCCAAACGTAACAAAAGTTTTAATTTACAGTAAAAATAAAGAAAATCAACAAAAAAATATATAAAATTAAAAATTCCCCAAGTATTTGAAATAAACATAGGCAGATCTCTACCTCAAAAAATTGAGGATACACCAATGAAATTTGTGTGACATATCACATACAAAGACATTGCCAATATTTGGTTGAATAGGCGTTTAATAGGCGTTGTCTTTTGGGCATCCGGACTGTAACACAGTCCTCAATCCCATGTCATAATAACACTTGGATGTGGGGCTTGACGAAAGTGGGTTTTTTCATTCTGCTGAGTGGCATGGCGGGCCAATATTTGGTTGCATGTCCTTTGGCTTTTATAATGTCCTCCAAACGTCATGGTACCGATTCCATCAATTGTTTGGTGGTATCTGGAGATATTTTATCCCATTCTTCTTGTAACACTTGCTTTAAATGGGCTTTGTTCCTAATTTGGTGTTTTTGGACCGCTGTTTCGAGTGTGGCCCGCAAATTTTCTATGACATTGATATCAGGGAACTGTGGTGGTGTGTGCAATTGCTGTTTACAATGAAAAAGACACCCCATTTTTGACATTAAGTGCCATGTATTTGGGATCGTTGTCTTGTTGGAAAATAAAATTTCCATCTAAACCTAATTTTTTTGCACTTTCTTTAAGATTGTTGTTGAATATATCTATACAAAGCTTATGACCCATTATATGCCATCTATAAAAACTAAATTTCCTACCCCATTTGAAGACATACAACCCCAAACCATGACGGAGCCACCACCATGTTTAACTGTAGGACGTAAATTCTTTGGATCCAAAGCGGTGTTCGGCTTTCTCCAAACGGTGCTACGGCCATCACTTCAAAAATGTTGAATTTACTTTCGTCACTAAATATAACTTTCTTCCAAAAGCTATCTGTCTCCAATTGATGAGTTTTTGCAAACTCCAAACGCTTTTTCTGATTTTGTAAGCTTATGAAAGGTTTCTTTCTAGCTACTCGACTGCTATATCCAGCATGTCTAATCACATTTCTCACAGTTTTAGCAGTTAAACTTCTGCCCATTATTCGAGAAGTTTCTGCAGCTAGTTTGACTGCACTTAGTTTAGGATCAATCTTGATATCTTTCAAAACTTTCCTTTTGGCTACATCACTCAGAATACTTTTCCTTCCTCTTCCACTTTTATTTTCAATTAATCCATCGCTTTTAAATCTTCCAATGATTTTCTGCACACACGAGTGGCTTCTACCGACAATTTTAGCTATTTCACGATAAGAATTTCCTTTCTTAAATAACCTTAATATAAATTTTCTTACATCAATACTGGTCTCTCTCCGAGGACTCATTTTCCATTTAAAATTGCGACTTTAAATTCACATAACCAACTTCAAAAGACAAAAGTAGCAGTCGAAAAAGTTTAAGATAAAATTGGCCAAACTTAGGCTATTATAGTAGAAAGCAGAAAAAAAATCTACTGATAGTTAAACAAACATTTCATTGGTGTATCCTCAATTTTTTGAGGTAAAGATCTGCCTATGTTTATTTCAAATACTTGTGAAATTTTTAATTTTATATATTTTTTGATGATTTTCTTTATTTTTACTGTAAATTAACCCTTTTGTTACATGTGAGAATAAAAACACGTTTGCACTTCTAGCTAATGTGTTATTTCGATTCAAAGTTGGATTTATCAAGTAAAAGTAAGATGTATCCTCAATTGCTTGTACCACTGTAGCTCCACCACATGATAGAATAGGTAAAGGACCACATACGTCCATGTGTACTAACTGTAAATGTCTAGTACTTCTTATTCTACCAATAGGTTTAAAAGAGACACATTTCGTTTTAGCTAATTTACAACTTTCACAGTCCTCTCATTCTTAAATTTTGGTAAACCATTTACTGCCGAAACTTTACTAGTTTGGACTAAATAGTCAATACACATATGACAAAATCGATTATGCTACAGCACAATATTTCGAGAATAATGCT